TGGGAGAGCTCCGTGCAGCTGTCTGCTCCTTGCGGCACCTCCTCAACACTTATAGTTTTTACTTTATGCTTTTTTTTTTTTTAGAAAGAGATTTATCAATCTTTAATTGAATAAACATTTATCCGTTTAATTCAATCTTTTTTTATAGGCCCACAAAAAAAATTGCAACAGTCAATAGCTAACATTTTACATTAAGTTATTAATTGGCAAAGGTAAATTGAGATTGTGTGTGTGTCCTCCCTGAATTATTTTCCTTATAGTAGATGAGTGTAGTGAAAACTGAGTATTATTTTTTTTCTCAGTGAAGACTCTTAATTGCAGGGCTATAGCTTGGGATTGTGAGCCCCAGAAAAAAACATTGATGTTTCACCGCCCTCAACTATTACCATATATGGCATAAGACATGGGCAACGTCCACATCTGATGCCATGTAACCATAAAGGTTGCTGACCCCTGGTTTAGGCTGACACTTTTTCCACACTTCTTGGGTGAACTCACGTGACAGTTAAGGGATTTGTTTTGTTTGAAACTCTTTCCACAGTGATCACATGTGAACGACTTCTCTCCGGTGTGAACTCTCATGCGATACCTGAGGTTTATTTTTGTTGTGAAGTTCCTTCCACACTGTTTGCAGGTGAAAGGCTTCTCTCCAGTGTGACTTCTAACGTGGAATTTAAGATGACATTTTTGAGAGAAGCTCTTTCCACACAGTTGGCAGGTGTAAGGCTTCTCTCCAGTGTGAATTCTCATGTGAACTTTAAGGTGTACATTTTCAGTGAAGCTCTTTCCACACAGTTTGCACTCCAGTTTGAGCTTTCATGTGCTTTGTAAGTTTTGTTTTACTGTTGAAACCTTTTCCAAACTGTTGGCAGGTGAAATAACTTCTAGTTCCAGTCTTTTGAGCAACGTTTTGTGAGGAAGTCTTTTCAGTCTGTGAGCAACTAAAATATTTTTCTCCATTTGTGAAATCATGTTTTCCATACTGATCTTTCTCTTCCATTTCATTTAGTTCTTGACTCTCCACTTTCAGTGCCATCATATCTAAAAAAGTCAAATACAAGTTAACCCCAGTTTAACGGCACCAAAGAACAGACATCAAGGCATCAAAACAAAAAACATGTACGCCAGATCATGTACCCACTGAGCTAATGAAAAAGGTGTTACCTGTAATATCAGAGCCTGTTCTCAATATGTTTAACCTTTTGCTTTCTTTAGGACAGCTAAAGGTATTATGGAAATAGTTTGGAATGTTAGTAATACATTGGTAAAATGACAAAATTGTGTGTTTCTGTCCTAACAGGGAATAAGACATTAATAGTCTAATAAGTCTGAGGGTAATAAATGATCTCCTTGTTGCAGCAGATTCTGGGGCTTGTGGCATTTTGGTTTTGTTAGATCTCAGTGCTGCATATTCGATACCATTTGTCACACTATACTACTGGACAGATTACATAAGTGGATTGGTCTTTCTGGTGTAGTTTTAAAATGGTTTGAATCATATATTTTAGAACGCACTCAATTTGTCTATTCTGGTGCAAACAGATCTCAGACTGCTCCATTGCGGCAGATTATTCACCCAAAGTATGGTCTGGGTTATCATTGCTATGCAGATGATACCCAGATTTACATTAGTACTCAACCTGATGTTACATCAGCACTTTCAACTTTATCTGCTTGTTTACTGGAAATACAGGCCTGGATGAAACAGAACTTCCTGCAGTTAAACTGTTAAAAAAACTGAAGTTCTATTGATTGGCACTTCAACTGCTGTAAATAGATGTAATAATTTTAAACTTACAGTGGATGAGTGCCAAGTTCTAGGAACTAGCCAGTAAGGTAGTTCCCCTGCATTCGCACCAGCAGTAGGAACTCTGAAGCGGCCGAAAGCGGTGCCTTTAAACGCAGCATTGGCAAATGGCAACAACTGGCAAATGGAGAATGCCACGATCAGAGCCGTTTTTGTTGCGTGTCGTGGGTTTCGTAATATTGGAGACGGAACGTAAGAACAAATTACACAATTGAAAGAGCAAAAAGTGGGGCTAAGAGACGAAATCTCCTATGACAACTTACAAATCATCAAGGCTGAGAAAAGAACACACTGCTGCAGACAACAGGAAAATGCCATTATCGCTGTTTTCCATGTTCGTGGGGTAAATATGTTTGCATGGCTTTAAAAATCCCGGGTGCCTGTGTTTCACGTGCTTTTGGCCAATCAGTGTACACTTACATCACTGATAGTTCCTATATATCTAGTTTAGACCATACTCTGAAGCAGGAGCTAATTTAGTTCCCATAAAATGAGTTCCTAGAACTAAAATCATTCCTAGTTCCTGCGGTGCGAACACGTGTGAATCTAGGTACTTCTGGCAATAGTTCTAGGAACTATGGAAAGATTCCTCCGGTGCGAAAGCCCCTTTAAATAACGCTACATACAACACACACTGCTTCAAAACAGCTTTAGAGTGATGAACAGGATTCAATGGCGCAAAGAGTTCAATCTGCTGTAAAGCACTCTTAAAAGAAAATAGTGTCATTGTTCAGCTGAGGCAAGTTCATTATTGATGATCAATTTTGAAGTGAGTTCAATTCAGCCATAAAGTTGCTCTGCAAGAAACAGGGATGTACAGTTGTGCTTGCAGAATCTCCACATATATGAAGAAATAAGAGGGATTTAAAAAAAGAAAAAAAAAGTATGTTATTTCATATTTAGTACTGTCCTGAATAAGCTCTTTCACATAAGAGATGTTTACATAGAGTCCACTAGACAAAATAACAGCAGAATTTATAAAAATGACCCCGTTCGAAAGTTTACATACCATTGAATCTTAATACTGTGTGTCGTTACCTGGATGATCCACGGCTGTTTTTTTGTGTTGTGTTGGTTGTTCATGAGTCCCTTGTTTGTCCTGAACAGCTAAACTGCCTGCTGTTCTTCAGAAAAATCCTCCATGTCCCGCAAATTCTTTGGTTTTCCAGCATCATTTGCATATTTGAACCCTTCCCAGCAGTGACTGTACAATTTTAAAATCTATTTTTCACACTGAGGACAACTGAGAGACTCGTACGCAACTATTACAAAAGCTGCCCTAATTATCAGGCATATAACATGCAAGATGACATGAAAATGACATCGATATTTTTCTAAAGATAGTCTTCCTTCAGAAATACAGTGATATAAAAACACCCGCGCCTCGTTTTGATTTGTAAACGTGCAGTACGTGCTCATGTTTATTCAACCAAGCCTTTCGGAAAATCGGTCAGTTTTGATATTGTGGCGAGCGCCACAAATAAATAAATGGCACAACCACCAGAGCCCAACTTCAGTCTACTCATCACCTGTGTTTGTAGCCGGCGCCCGATGAAACGTCTATATAAAGCTTGAAGCATCAGCATCGGCCGATCACCATGACTATAATAAAATGCTTTCAGCCCAGAGCTGGTCCTACATGACAGGCTCTTAAACTCAATTTATAGGCTACATAAAAAAATCCAAATTCCGCCTGTTTAATTTGATGTTCATCATAGAGTTGTGAACAAATACAATAAAAAATACAAACAATTCCACCCATTTATTTAAATTTAAGTGGATTTGTGTAAGATAAGACCATTTGTTCCCATTTACTCCAGTGTACTGTGGTAAGGGACTGTTTTTAAGTCAGGTATGCAAATTCTGACAGAAACCCCAAAACTACACTAAGAGCTTAAGGGGTTTAGAAACGGGTGGCGACCCTAGTACTGTACATCATTAGAAAGGTCACAGATTCAATTTGACCCTATAATAATCTTATTTGTGTCTTATTGGCTTAATTAGGACACCCATATGACATATCACTCATTTCTGAATAAGAATCAATCGACTGAGTTCAGCTTTGAGAAAGACACCAACCTGTTTGTTCCTCAGTATCTTCATGTTTGATGCTGAATACTTCTGCAATCCTAATGTCTAAACTCTCCTCTTTAATAAACGCCATCTTTATAATAGTGTGTCACGTGGATCTCAGTCGCTTCACCTGAGAAAAATCAAGAAAGAAAAACACACACTAAATTTAAAAAGTGACTATGTCTTTAGTCTGTGTTGAACTGACGCATATAGTTTGCTCAGAGACTGTAGCGCTCACAAACACTATTAAATGTCCTTCCACTTCAGCTCTGAGGCTAAAACAGAACTGATTAGCCAGAAAAAAACACTCAAAACTAGAACTGCAAATTAATAAAAGAACACAAATTACAATTGTCTCATAGCCTACATCGTTGTCTTCTCGTTGCATCACATGGTTTCATCCAATAGGAAAGTTTTCGTTCTGCGATTCGTAGTAAAACTATACATTTGCATGAACAGTTCATTTCATCTTCGTCTTCTTCTTCTTCTTCTTCTGTTTATTGGCGGTTGGCATACTAGCTCATTAGTGCATTCATTCGATTTAATTTAAACACTTTACATGTTTAAAACACGAACCTTTGTTTCAGGCGAGTTACAAGCTCCTGGTTAACAGCGCAGCCTTATGACATCATACAGCCATTCCAAAATAAAAGTCCCGTTCACACACGCTCGAATCAGAAATGCACATAGAAACACACGTGCGAATGATAAAACACGCACCAGTGGCGCTCAGAGCTGATTTCTTGCACAATATATTTCTTTAAATAAACGGTGGCCAATGTTCAATTCCAGTGAGAGTTTGAACGACATGAGATTCGGAACACTAGTGTTTGTGTGCAGAAACCATTTAAGGAGCCAGGAACTTTTTACTTTTACTTTTTATTTTATTTACTTATTTATTTATTATTTTTGAGAAGAGCTTGGTTATAACAAAGGCCTGTCAGTCTTTTTGTCATACGGTTATTCCATATGCGTAGTAAGGTTTCACAAAATAAAACAGAGCAAATAAAATGTAATGATATTAATTAAAAAAAAAAATTCTTCCCCCAACTAATGTAGTTCCTTAGAATCAATTGTAAAGCTTTGTAGAGTAATTTACAACAGATTAGAACGTGGCTCAACCAATCAGAATCAAGGACCGGAACTCTCCATTTTATAAGATATTAATGTAACAAAATATTCTGGGTGTCATGAAATTTTAGTGAAAATCTGCAAAAACGCTGGCGGGGAAAGAGTTAAGCCAATTAGATTGCATTTAGATTCAAATTAAAATAGATCAAAATTAGAACTGATTTAGATAAGATTTAACGCATTTGCTTAAAGAGGTTTTGTGTTTGATTAGAAATAAAAGTACATTTGCATTAAGCACCCAGTTCGCGTTTGTCTGTCATTTAAATTAATAGCTTACATTTACTAAATTAGCCTTTTTAATAAAAGTAAAGTCCGTGCTTAATACAATTCTCAATGAAATTAAAATGTCAAATTAGAAAAAATAATAAGATTGTTGTTCAATTTAGTTTAATATATTTGTGGCAGAGATGGTGAAGTCAAGAGAGATTACAGAACAAAGAACAGAATAATGTGTAACTATTGATCAGCTACGCCTCCCAGAATCCATCTTGTTTCTTAATCCTCCTTTTACTGACCATTTGTTGAAAACTATCAAATTCATCCTTTCATTTCATAGTTCATAAATTAGCACTTCCATTTTATAAACTTAGTCTTTGCAGATTTTAGCTCTTTCTGATGGGAGGAGCCTCACTGACGCTGAACGTGTGGGAGGGGCCTCACTGATGGTGAATATGTTCAAGGGGCCTCACTGAAGGTAAGCGTGTGGGAGGAGCTTCACTGACGGTGAATGTGTGGGAGGGGCTTCACTGATGGTGAATATGTTCAAGGGGCCTCACTGATGGTGAATGTGTGGGAAGAGCCTCAATGAAGGTGAAAGTGTGGGAGGAGCTTCACTGACAATGAATGTGTGGGAGGGGCCTCACTGATGGTGAATGTGTGGGAGGAGCCTCAATGAAGGTGAATGTGTGGGAGGAGCTTCACTGATGGTGAATGTGTTCAAGGGGCCTCACTGACAGTGATTGTGTGGGAGGGGCCTCACTGATGGTGAATGTGTGGGAGGAGCTTCACTGATGGTGAACGTGTTCAAGGGGCCTCACTGAAGGTGAACGTGTGGGAGGGGCCTCACTGACGGAGAATGTGTTCAAGGGGTCTCACTGATGGTGAATGTGTGGGAGGAGCTTCACTGACGGTGAATATGTGGGAGGAGCCTCACTGACAGTGAATGTGTGGGAGCAGATCTGCCAAAATCAAAATCACTTACTGAATTAGTTTTTATAAGCATTGACGACAGAATATAAATAATGTCATGTAAATTATAAAGTACAAGTATAAATAATGGTAAGGAAAAACACTGGTAAAATGTTCATAATTGTTACCAGTGGTGGCTGGTGGACAATTTTCTAGGTGGGGTGCCACATCCAACAAATTTATGTAAACAAACATCCCAGTTTGATTTATCCCAGTGCAGAATCAAACACACTGAAGATACTGAAGAACTAACAGGTTGGTGTTTATTCTTCATTAATTCATGAATAATGCTGACGGTTATAAAGTTTCAAGTAGTTTTAGAGTGTTTGTGTTGTAATTGAACAATTCTGTAGAGCTCTGCAGTAATATAGCTAAATAATCAAATAACAAGGGACACTTTCTGTAAACTGGGTACTTTTTTCAGCAAAATTATTTATGTTAGATAAATCAAGCGTAGCGTTAGTTCTGGCAGGTCACGTTAGTCAAGCTCGCATCAGCTGACTCTCAGCTGATCCCCATCAACCTATGGGAATACGACACCTATCTAAGCATTCATATACTGTATAAGGTCCCGCAGTAGTATCAGCAGTTTTCGCATTGCTCAATAGCTAATTACCCTCCTCCATCCCCAACTCCTCCTCTGTCAGTCAGGATTCAGCCTTCTGATTCTCCTTTGAATCAGACTAATTCTAAAATGTGTACATAACATTATTGAACTTTAACGATATCTGCATACATTTATGTTGGTTCTGTTTTGTTTACCCTGGGGGGGTTATCGCTGCTCTCCCTGGTCTCATCAATGCTTGGCTGCATGGATGCGCAGGGAGTTCTTGCCCAGAATGGAACCATACCGCCAATCCAATCTGTATGCTAATTGTCAATCATCTTTGACGATAGTGGTCCTGACAGAACTGTGTAGTTGACCAAACATGTTTAATAGTTCTCCCTATAGAAACATGGGATTTGTGCCTATAATCTTTTAAAAATCATAATTTGAAGATCAATGTACCTCATTCATTGATGAATGAAAAAGTTTCAGAGATGTATATATAAAATGTACTAGATGTATTTATAAAACTGCATCAAAATGTATAGCAATTGTCTACTTTCTGCTGTTACATCAGGGTTCACGTTTATGTCTTTTCGCATTTCTTTTTTTTTATGAGTTAATGAAAATAAACAATTTTTACTTTTATTTCAGAGTTGACTGAAGAAAGTGAGGAGAATGAAGAATTGAGTGAAGTTGAGGGAAAACATCTCTTCAGAACTGGAAAAGAACCTTTGAGTTGCTCTCAAACTCAGAAAGATTTCAAGAAAAGAAGATCCAAGAAATCTTTCACCTGCACTCAGTGTGGAAAGAGATGGACATGCAAACGTCATCTTGAGCTTCACATGAGAGTTCATACTGGAGAGAAACCATACGCTTGTGATCAATGCGGGAAGAGTTTCTCACACTCATCAAGCCTTAAGCATCACATGAACATCCACACTGGAGAGAAACCGTTCTCTTGTGATCAGTGCGGGAAGAGTTTCACACAATCAGCACATCTTAAGGATCACATGAACATCCACACTAGAGAGAAGCGGCACACATGTGATCAGTGCGGAAAAACATTTGTGAGAGCTTCAGACTTGAAGCAGCACCTGAGAGTTCATACAAAGGAGAAGCCACATTCATGTCATTTGTGTGGAAAGAGTTTTTCACATCTACACCATTTAAATGAACATCAGAAAACACATACTGGTGTGAGAGACTACATGTGCTTTGAGTGTGAGAAGACGTTTACTTCAGCGAGCCATTTAAAACTGCATGAGATGATTCACACTGGAGAGAAACCTTACAAGTGTTCACACTGTGACAAGAGATTCAGTCAGTCATCAACTCTGAAAACACATCAGAGGATCCACACTGGAGAGAAACCGTATCACTGCACTGCATGTGGGAAGTATTTCAATCAATCTTCTGCTCTACACAGACATACAAAAAAATATCACAGTAAGTAGATCATCTTCAGATCCAGCACTTTCAGATCTGATGCTGCGTCTTCACCAAATGTGACACGATAATGAATCAAGCAATAAAATATCGTCTGGATAAATCTGTCCTAACCAGATATTACAAGTACATGACAAAGAAACATTATCTAAAGTTTTCAGTGAATAAAGTTAATCTTCAAAACCAGCCGATTCAACTGTGAGATTCACATCAACTCAAACGTGGAGTTCCTCCCCAAAGAACAATGTCAAAAAGTTTTATTTTTGTATGCCATTTTGCTTCATGATATAAATGACATTAGTGTGCTTTCTTATGAGTTTCATATTAACTCTTATAATGCATATGTCACTTGTAGTTTGCTTACTCTTTCATGAAGGAAAGCCGAAGTTTTTACAAACTGTTCTTGTTCATGGAGCTGAAGAAGAGACTGTGACACTTTTAAGAGAAACTGAGAACAAGTGACATATGCTTTCTTATGAGTTTCATATTAACTCTTATAATGCATATGTCACTTGTAGTTTGCTTACTCTTTCATGAAGGAAAGCCGAAGTTTTTACAAACTGTTCTTGTTCATGGAGCTGAAGAAGAGACTGTGACACTTTTAAGAGAAACTGAGATTTATTTTTAATTTTGTTCTTCATTGTGTAAGGCCTCTGCGGAACAGACCCACCAAAAAGCTGCAGAATAAACACATTCCCAAAACAGGATCTAAAGACTCCCCCACACAGCCATCACGAGATCGTAAAACTGACAACACCCTCATTGTCTGGATTAGTTTCCTCTCAACATGATAAGAGCTAATCCAATCAAGGGAAAAGAGAACTCCTTTGTCTCGATGAACTGAAGAGTCATTTAAGCAACATACGGTTAAGTGCTACCTCGTGGACACTGCATAAATCCATAGAAGAAGCCCGAAAACAGGAAAAGGCAAATTTACGTGACACTCTCCAGGCCTGCAAACACCGAAGATCCATACAGCGTGACTCTTCGTGACCCCCGAGGGCAGGGGTCTGCAACCTTCAACAACAAAAGAGCCATTTCAGACCCTTTCCCACCGGATAAAACTCTTGCACTTTAGGGTTGTGCGATTAATTTTATTTTCGATATTTAGTTTGTCTAAAATGGCCAGGCTCCTTGGGGTTTGCAATTTTTGGAACTGGAACAACACCGGAAGTCTTCCACAGGACCGGAACTCTTTTAGGGCTGTGCGATTAATTTTATTTTCGATATTTAGTTTGTCTAAAGTGGCCAGGCTCCTTGGGGTTTGCAGTTTTTGGAA